AATAACTTAAGAAATAAGACAACACAAGCAAAGGCACCTCAAGCAGGTTGGGATTGGATTTTACGGTTTCTAACTTTAAGAACGGTACTTCTCATTAGCAAAAAGAAGTACTTTTCAAACACGGACAATTAGTCCTAGATGTTCTAGGAATATTAGGATATTCTAGGTAAAAGTTTATGTCTGTAAGACTGAAAATTATCTTTGTTGCTCCTTCTACCAATCATATCAGTCAAATTCACTAATTATTATCTACTTAAAGTAAAAAAAATGTTTAAAAGTTCATGGAATTGTTGATATTAGATACAAGTGGTATTGATACGTCAAGCTAATTAAATTCTCATGTAAAAAGAAATTTTCTTTTCACGAGTTTACCACAAGAGTAATAATAATTTTAGATGTTAGTCCTTTGAGGAAATATTGATAGTTGGTATTTTCTTTTCATAATTTCTTGTAACAAAGCATTATAAAAAATTAACTAGCAATCACCTTCTACAGTGTCAAATCACAAGAAAACAAGCTGATATTTTCTGTGAATGTATTTTTTTAGGTAAAGGATATAAAATACAAGGTATAAAGACTTAGTCCAATCTTTGACAGGGCTTACAATGAGTTGTGATGAACAGGTGCAATCTGGTAGCACTAAAGTTTCCCACGTGAAAGATCAAATGATGATAGGTATAAAATTGCTAGTGCATTTTAAGACTTTCCCACATTCAGAGATAAAATAAAAATGACTTTCCAATTCTCAAGAAAAAAAAATCAGTTAAAGCATACACTATCTTATTTTCAAAACCATGACAAATTGAGGTTTTAGTGCAAAAGCGTACATGGAGATCTTTCTAGAGTAAAATCACCAATTGAAAGGAGGACGCTAAGAGAGGGTCTGCAGTCAAGCAAGAGGAAATTTCTGGCATACTGCTATCTCCCCTCACAGTGCATATCACGAGTTATAATTCCTTAGTACTAAATATACTATTTAACTTTGTTTGACTAGGTAATTCTCCAATATATTCAATGAAGGAACCCTCTTTATAATGACATATATGTGTATACCAAAGAACCAGTGTTCAGAGGGACATACTCTGAGAAATGCTGCTATGTGGCAAAGAAATACTACAATTCTAAAGCTGGCAAGTTGAGCAACAGTGGTAATCTGCTTTAGTGTATCTAAGGAAATTATTAAGTGATACAGCTCAAGTGTTCTTCTTATTTCTTTATAGAATGGAGATAGATATATATCTCCATTCTATAAAGAACTATGAAGCCACCGAGCCTGGCTTCATAGTTTTTATGTTGACATTTCCCTATTCTCTTTAAAATGCTTTAAATCATTTGTGATTGTGAATGCTGTATCCTTTCAGTACTGTGGTAATCTCTTTGTAGCATTTTCCCATTTCTGTATCAGTATGGTTTTTTAAAAAAGAGAGTGGGATTTTTGTACTTAATATCCATTCTAAGCCGGGCTCGGTGGCTCAGCCTGTAATCCCAGCGCTTTGGGAGGCTGAGGTGAGTGGATTGCCTGAGCCCGCGGGTTCGAGACCCGCCTGGGCAACTTGGCGAGACCTCATCTCCACAATAAATAAAAAATCAGCCGGGTATGGTAGCGCGTGCCTGTAGTTCCAGCTACTTGGAAGGCTGAGGCGGAAGGATCGCCGGAGCCCAGCAGGTCAGGCTGCGGTGGCCGGGTGCGGCCACTGCACTCCAGTCTGGGCAACAGAGTGAGACTCCGACTCAAACAAACAAAAAAAAGAACTATGAAACGGTGAGAAGTGATCACTTTATCTCTGGTCTCTGAAGGAGTCCTCAGAACTGGTCTGAAGGGTCCTCTCAAATGACATCATTTGTTTAGCCCCATTCTCTTCAGCCCTTTGACTAGATGGCATCTAATGTGTACCTAGCAGGTCACCTGGTTCTCCCAAGGGGAGAGGAACCCTGTAACAGCTACATCTGTCTCCAGAGTCCACACCCACACAATCCCCTTCATTCCCTCTAGGCCAACTTCATCAGCAATCTCATTTTTAATGGCACAATTATATGTCCAAACGTAGGAGAAAAGAAGCTCCTACTCTATCTACCAAAATAAGTATGTAAAGGCAGAAGGAAAGGAGGAAGGCTGACAGAAATGTTCTAGCTAATACCTGAGTTGGCTAAAATTTGGAATGAGTTTTTCACGAAAACAATATTGTAACTTATGAATAGATTTTTCCAGTTCAGCTCCATCATTAATAAACAATTTTGAGGACATTATTGTAAAAAAAACAATTTTGAGGACATTAATGTACAAAACCATTTGTACCATTATTTTCCTAAAAATCAAAAAAACATTTTGTATTCTAAATATTGCATGTTAAATAAATAATATAGAGAATGAGTCCATTGGTAAATTATGGACAGGTAGTAGTTAGTTCTCTACAGCCTTAGTGTTCCTTCCAAGCTTTATTCATGGTCCATGTGACATAACATGACGTTTTGGTTGTTCAATATTCCCTCAACTTCATATGTCCACTTTAATTCTTGTAATAATTCCTAATTTAGACATATGTATATATTTTGAGTTGGAGTCTCATTCTTGTCGCCCAGGCTGGGTGCAGTGGCATGCTCATGGCCACTGCAGCCTTGACCTGCTGGGCTTAGGCACGCCTTCTGCCTCAGCCTTCCAAGTAGCTAGAACGACAGATGCACACTACCATGCCCAGCTAGTTTTTGTGATTTTATTGTGGAGATGAGGTCTTACCAAGTTGCCCAGATTTAGACCAAAAAAAAATTTTTTTTTTCAGTTGGAGTCTCATTCTGTCGCACAAGCTGGAGAGCAGTGGCATACTCACTGCCACCCCAGCATTGACCCGCTGGGCTCTGGCGATTCTTCTGCCTCAGCCTTCCAAGTAGCTGGAACTACAGGTGCACGCTACCATGCTCAGCTAATTTTTGATTTATTGTAGAGATGAGATCTTGCCAAGTTACCCAGGCTGGTCTCGAACCCATGGGCTCAGGCAATCTACTCATCTCGGCCTCCAAAGTTCTGGGAATACAGCCTGGGCCCTGGGCCCGGCCTAGACAAATATTAATCAGCAAATATTTTAAGCCTTGATTTGGAAATCTAGCATGGCATAAGTAGAATAAAAAAAACAAATGTCTTAAATAGAAATACTTTTGAACTAAATCTTATTTCTTTTGTCTCTATTATTCAATATAAAAATATACATTTTAGTGCCAGGTATGGTGGCTCATGCCTGTAACCCCAGGGCTCTGGAAGCCTGAAGGAGGAGGAGGACTTGAGACCAGGAGTTCAAGATCAGCCTGGGCAACACAGTGAGATCCTGTCTCTATAAAATATACTATATGCTTATATATTTTTAAACATTTTACGATATCATAGACACTGTGCGGTATACAAGGCCAATTCCCAGGTGAGTCTGAGAGGTCCAGTGCAGCAAAGCGAGTCTGTGGCTGCAGGTGCATTTTCCTCTTCTGTTAACTCACACTGACCTGAAAGGACGCTATTAGGAAAAAGACATGCAAGAAAGACAAAGCACTGAGTGTCTTTTTCAATGCTGTAATAACATATTCATTAATATATATGAAAATCTGGGAAAAGATGAAAGGCAAATTAGATATAAAAAAAGTGGTTAAATATGTGTTTACAAAGTCAGTTTTCTCTGATGTGTGAAAAAAACTGATAAAAAATTCAGAGGTGTTATAAAAACCCATGGATTCTCTTTCTGCCAATGTCACTGTTTGCTACCGTAGCTTCTTATTTGTCCAGGTAGAGTTTATATTATAGACTGATGCATGAGGTCTTACGCTAAAGTCAATACTTATTTTTATACTATAATGTTTTCACTGCTATACCATGAAGTATTATTATAAATAAATCATAATTATACTTCATCATAAATAGAAATTAAGAAAGTACACTTCACCAAACTGATTTTTGTGTCTTCTAAATTGTATTTGTTTGCTCACCCGCCAGTTTGAAAAATCTAGTAATTTGTCGAGGGCTTCATAGTCATTAATGTGAATTAGTAATGCTATAACCTAATTCAAAAACAATTATTTTTTTTAGACGAGGCACATACTAGCAGAGCTTAGTATTAGCCAAAAGTTACTGACACACCATGGGCAAAAGGCCAACTCTACAGGGACAGATAAAGGTCATTTTATGGACAATCCAAATAAAAATTGCTCTTAAAATATTCTTCCCATTGGAATTAGTTTACGTAAATCTAATTCACTGATGTGATTTTAGGCCTTTTGGCTAGAATCTCACAATCAGAAAAAAAACAACAATTTTAACACAAATTCTTATGATATTGTCAAAGTTTAACTATTGATTCAAAGAATCCTGCTAAAACAATATATGATGGTAAGAAAAATTTGAGAAGAAAAAAAAATACAGGAAAAGCTGGATAACCGATGTTGAGTTCAGTTAACCCCTACAGTTAAAAACTACTTCTTTTAAATTTTATCCTACAAATGAGATAGAAATACTAAGCATTTTCTACTTTTGCATCACCAGAAATTTGATGAGAATCCAGAAATAAAAAAATAAAGTGAAAGTTAAACCTGCATCTAGTTGGTTGACTACAAAAAACCTAGAAACAAGACAAAGAAGCATAAGATGGTATTATTGCAATACTGAGGAAAAATGACAATACCTACAAACGTTTTTTCTACTGAAGCTTTAGTAAATTTGAAATAATACACCCTGATTGTCTTTCTAGTGATGTTGTTGAGTAAACCACTCAAAGCCAGTGCTGAACGCGGATAAATATTTATGGTGCCACCTGGCGATTTCCTTCAAGTTCAGTGATTTTGGATGCTATCAGTGCTGTCCCCACAGGCATATGTTCTCCTTTGGGTATATGGAAAACTGTATGGCTAGGGACCAGATTGTTGCAGGTGCTCTCTGAACACCAAGAGCTGCCAGCTCTCGGAAAAAACTGAAAATGGAGAATGCTTTCCTATGCTTTTGCACGGATATAATCACCATTTCATGTGCGTAAAACCTAAAAGAAAAAGGAAAGTTTTTATTCCAGATAACCTGTACATTCAGAATTCCAAATATAATTTTCTTTACAGCAGTAGAATATACTATACATCTTCTTATTGAATCCTTGATGGGATTTTAGTTTAAAAACAGGAGAAATAGGACCCCGATGCTGAATGAGGGCTTCGGCAACATCATATAAGATGGCTTTTGGGTTTGCCACGTAGTTCGAGTTTCTTTGTTGTGAGCAGCTGTGCCAGGCCATTGAGAAACACCAGAAAGATGGTCATGGACATGACAATCACATAATGGCTGATGCTGCAAAAGAAGAAAAAACCAGGATATGAGCAGAGGAAGCACAGATGAGGAAAAGGACAAGATTCCTCTGAATAATGTTTGTAAGTAGATGTAAGTTCAACAACTTCTTTCAGGAAATGCAGTATGTGTATTTTCCCTCATCTCTCCTGCTAAGTACCATTGCTCCTTGGCGTCCCTGGGGAATGGTTCCAGGACCTTTACGAATGTTTAAATCCTCAAATGCTCAAAGCACTGATATAAAATGGGATAGTATTTGCATATAACCTATGCACTTCTTCTCACAAAATTTAAAATCATCTGTAGATGACTTGTAACACCTAATATGTAAATTCCATGCAAATAATTGTTATACTATATTGTTCAGGGAATAAGTGGCAAGAAAAAAATCAGTACACGCTCAGTACAGATGCAATTTTTAAGAATATTTTCAGTCTGGTCTGCAGTTGGTTGAGTACGCAAGGTGGAACCCACAGATATGGAGGGCTGACTATACACTAAAAACTTTGCACATTATATATAAACAAACACAAGAAAACTCCAAATGTTAGAAAGAAAAAGTCAGGCTGGTTAGTGATCTTGGGACCCAGGGAATGCCACCCAAGTGGCGAATTGCGGGCTTTTTTTTTTTTATCTCATAAGCAGGAAGACACAGGAAACCTAGAAATGCCCCTGGGCATAGATTAGAAAAAGCAAAAACAAAAACAAAAAACACCACTAGAACAAAAGCCTCTCTTTAACCAAGGGACAGACAAGGAAAGGAAAGGGGCAGTCCTGACAGACAGAAAACTTTAGAAACTGCTATGTTAGTGAAACACCACCGAAAAAACAGTGGCCCCGTTCCCTACCTACTTCAGTACAGGCTAAGTGGAGAACCTAGACCAGGGGTCCTCAAACTTTTAAAACAAGGGGCCAGTTCACTGTCCCTCAGACCGTTGGAGGGGCGGACTACAGTTTAAAAAAAAAAACTATGAAAAAATTCCTATGCACACTGCACATATCTTATTTTGAAGTGAAAAAACAAAACGGGAACAAATACAATATTTAAAATGAAGAACAAGTAAAGTTAAATCAACAGACTTACCAGTATTTCAGTGGGAACTATGGGCCTGCTGTTGGCTAATGAGATGGTCAATGTCCAGTTCCGTATTTGTCACTGCTAGTCGTAACAAGTTAAGGCGGCAAAAACACCCGGCGGGCTGGATAAATGTCCTCAGCGGGCCACATGTGGCCCGCGGGCCGTAGTTTGAGGACCCCTGGCCTAGACTTTCATCCTTACCATTGTCACCAGGTCCTCCAACCCTGATGTAGCTCCTCCCCTCCACTGCTATGATGTCAGAGAAGGCTGAGTAGAAGTGTTGGTACTCTCAACTATGCTTGCTGGACATCAGTGGATACCATGTGAGAAGCCTGGAATTTCACCTCCATCTAGCAGTAATGAGGTCCCCTCCCTCTTCACTGTGGTAACGTCAGAAGAGGCCTAGCTGCAAGTTAGGAATTTCACCGCCACTCAGAGGTACCTTCCCCCCCATGTTATTATTAGTGGAGGTTACATGGGGGAGCAAGAAAGAAGACCTCTTATCCTTCCCAGTCATGGAGGCATCAGTGGAGGCCTAGTAGGGAGTTGAAATGCCTTTCCTCACCAGGCAATAATAAGGGGCTTCCCCTCAGGTGTTAATGCAGGCTGCACAGGGAACCTGGATTTCTACACCCATCAAGCACAAATGAGATAGTGCCCCCTTCTTCCCTGCCACAGTAGCATCAGCTAAAACAGAAAGTTTAAATAAGATTGAAAATCTTATAACATGATACTCAAAATGTCTAGGTTTCAATGAAAAAATCATCTGCCATATCAAGAATCAGGAAGTTCTCAAGTAGAATGAAATACGACAATGAATAGATTCGACAACCTAGATAAAAGAGTGTTAGAATAATCTGGTAAAAAATTTAAAGTGGCCAGCATAAAAATGTTTCAGTGAGCAATTATGAACATCCTTGAAACAAATACTAAAACATAAAATCTGAGCAAAGAAATAGAAATTCTCAACAAAGTAACAGAAGATACAGTCAAGAACCAAATAAAATTTCTAAAACTAAAAAATACAATGGATGAGCTCAATAGGAGCACAGAGGGACATGGAAATAATCCATGAACTTGAGGATAAAAAATAGAAACTATCCAGCCTGAACAATAACAAGACAGACTTAAACAACAATAACAAAAATGAACAGAACAGGGACCTGTGGATTGTGACAAAACGTCTAATATTTGTGTCACTGTAGTGACAGAAGGAAAGAAAAAGAGGGGAAGAGAGAACTCAGGAATGGTGGTTGAAAACTTCCAAATTTGGCAGAAGACATAAATCTAGAAATTGCAGAAGCTGAGCAAACCTTATACAGGGTAAACTCAAAGCAATCCACACACAGCCATATCAAGCTACTGAAAAAAAAAAAAATTAAAACAGTGAGAGACAATGACACCTTAGCTATAGGAAAAAAACAATTCAAATGATAGTAGATTTCTCAGCAGCAAACATAGAAGCCAGGAGGTAATGGTATACCATTTTCCAAGTATTTATAGAAAAAGAACTGTCAACCCATAATTCAGTAAAAATATCCCTCAGAAATGAAGGGTAAACCAAGACATTCTCAAATGAAGGAAAACTAAAAGCATTTATTACCTGTCGACCTACCCTAAAAGAATGGCTGAAGGAAATTTTCCAAAAAGAAAGAAAACAATAAAAGAAGGAACTGGTAAAAATCATGAAGGAAGAAGAACTTAGTAGGTAAAAACATAGGTAAATGCAATAGGCTTTTCTCTGCCTCTTGAGTTTTCTAAATTATAATGGAAAGCTGAAACACAAATTATCAACACTGTCAGATATAGCTTCAAATATATGTGGAGGAAATATTTAAGACAATTATATTGTAAATGAAGGCAGGTAACAGGATGTAGCAGGAGATAAGATCTCTATATATTAATCAAACTAGTAAAATAACACCATCAGTAAACTGTGATTAGCTATAATACCTAGAGTAACCACTTAAAAAGTCACACCAAGAGATACACTAAAAAGCATTACAGATAAGTAAAAACAGAATTCTGTAAAATGTTCAAGTAACACACTGGAAAGCAAGAAACACAAAATGGAGAGAACAAACAGAAATTAAAAAATTAAATGTCAGATTAAGCCCTGACATATCAACAATTACATTAAATGTAAATAGTCTAAATATATAAACTAAAAACCAGAAATTGATAAGATAGATAAAAATACATGACCAAAGTACATACTGTCAAAAGATATTCATTTAAATTATAACAATACAGGTAGACTGAAAGCAAAAGGATAAAGAAATATTGTGCAACTACTAATTTTAAAAAGCAGGACTTTTGCTGCAGAGCAAATGGACTTCAGATCAGAGATAACCTTTTCTCAACAATTGATAGAACAATTAGATTGAAAATTCAGCAAGGATATAGAAGAATTCAACAACACTATTGACTAGCATAGACCAATTGATACAACAACTGCACAAGAAATGTTCTTTTCAGTTGTCCATGAATACCAAGATACATCATGGCCCAAGATAGGTATAAAACAAACCTCAACAACTGAAATAAATCCCAGCACTTTGGGAGGCAGAGGCAAGAGGACTGTCCGAGCCCAGGAATTCAAGACCAGCCTGGGCAACTTGGTGAGAACTCGTTTCTACAATAAATCAAAAAATTAGTTGGGTGTGGTAGTGCGTGTCTGTAGTTCTGGTTACTTGGAAGGCTGAGGCAGAAGGATCGCCTGAGGCCAGTAGGTCAATGCTGGGGTGGCTGTGAGCATGCCACTGTACTCCAGCCTAGGCGACTGAGAGACTCCAACTCAAAAAAACAAACAAAAAACCCCAAATAAGCCGGGCTTGGTGGCTCAGCCTGTAATCCCGCGCCTTTGGGAGCCCGCGGGTTCGAGATCCGCCTGGGCAGCAAGACCTCATCTCTACAATAAATCAAAAAATCAGCCGGGCATGGTAGCGCATGCCTGTAATTCCGGCTACTCGGAAGGCTGAGGCGGAAGGATCGCCGGAGCCCAGCAGGTCGAGGCTGCGGTGGCCGGGAGCGGCCACTGCACTCTAGTCTGGGCGACTGAGTGAGACTCCAACTCAAAAAACGAAACAAAACAAAAAAAAAACCCAAATAATACAGAGTACCTTCTCTGACCACAACAAAATCAAAGAACTCAATAATAGATAGTCTCCAAACATTGGAAGCTAACCAATACACCTGCAAATAATCTGTGCATCAAATACGAAGTTTCTAGAGAATTAAAAAAAACACTGAATGTAATGAAAATGAAAACCCATCATATCACAGTTCATGGGACACAGCTAAAGCAGCGCTGAGAAGGAAATAAGCCCAAGCAAACATGCACCCTCTCAAAAGGGTGCAAGCCATTGACCTGATATTACTATATACCTATCAGTGTGAATCTCATACTTTCTACAAAAATTAACTAAAATGGATCACAGATTTAAATGTAAAAGTAAAAACATTTTAGAAAAAAAGTAAACAGGAAAAAGTCTTTGAGATCTGGAGGTAGGCAAAGAGTCCTTAGATTTGACCCCAAAAGCACAATCTAAAAGTAAATAATTGATAAACTGGACTTGATAACAATCTTTTTCTCTAAGGAAGACCTTGTAAAAAGACAAGCTACAGACTCAGAGAAAATATTTGCAAACCATATATTCAACAAAGTACTACTATCTAGGATAGAATACAGAATAAATTCTCAAAACTCGACAGTGGGGAAAAAAAAAAGTCTCACAATTCAATTAGAAAATGACTAAAAGACATGAACAGACATTTCACCAAAGAGGATATACAGAGAGTAAATAAGCAGATGAAAAAGTGTTCAACATCATTAACCACTAAGGAAATGCAAATTAAAAACAAAATGAGATATCATTATGCACCAACTTGAAGGGCTAAATTAAAAATAGTGACAACATCAAAT